GAAAAACCCACAACAACCATTGGATCCATTTTCTTCATGATCTGGTGCATGAGCTAAAGATGGGTTGAGGCATACTTGACTACTGCTGCCACCTGACTATGCAGGAGCAGCCCTGGATCCAAAATACCCCCAAACTGTACACCTAGTTCTTCAGAGCAAGCATAATCCCAAGACTTCACACAAGATGCCAAATGCACCTCCAAGTCTCTTTCATAGTATTTTCCCCAGACAAACATGGTTAATACAGGACAGTAAGTCTAGCAGGGATCACAGACTTTCCGAGAGGTACTCGTTTTACACTAAAGTGAAACTAAAGTACTGTATAATGGCAACTTGAGAATTCATTTCAGTGTAACCTTTCATGGATTACAACCCACATCTCTCTCTCTCTCTCTCTCTCTCTCTCACACACACACACACACACACACACACACACACACACACAGAGAGAGAGAGAGAGAGAGAGAGAGTATAGATGATGGGTGTGAGACTAAATGGAAAAGAAAACAATAAATGGCAGTGGCAGGTTAACACCTAGTAATAAATCTCCACAGTGACAATGGCATTAGAAAATTAAAGTATGATCTTGCCAATGGAGGCTCTGCAATTTACATTAAATAAAGGCAAATATAAATAGCTACTGGGAGGGGCATTTGCTTTAGTGATAGAGCACATGATTTGCACAGAGAAAACCTGCAACATTTCCAGTTGAAGACAACAGGAAAGGTTTCCCACCTTAGACCCTGGGCACCTGCTATGGGTCCAAGTAGACAGTACTGGGACAAATGGACCAATAAGAGCAAAATGATGTTCTCTGTTCATAAAGGTGCCCAATACAGATTGAGAACAGGACAGTTAATCAGACCGTAGGTGTTTATCTGCCAGTGTTAAACCTCTTCATGGATGCAAGACAAGGCACAATTCCAAATAAATATCCGACTAACTCCACGGTATGATCAGATGATCTCACTTTTCCATAAAAGAGCATTAAACCACTGCAAGCATGCAAATCAAGGCACAATTTTACATTTCTACAAATAGCACATATGTATTTTAAGAAGTCATCCAACAGGAAACATCACTTGGATCCCCTGTAATTATGGGTTAGCGTAATGCTCTAACCACAGACAAAAATAACTTAGACAGAACTGTCACTGACACACATGTCATAAGAAGAGCCCTGCTGGATAAGGGCCCATCTAGTATCTCACAGTGGCCCCACCACATGCCTCTGGGAGATACAACTAGATACCTGTCTCCTGATACCTCTCCCCTGCATCTGGCATTTGGTGGTACCTTCTTTTTAAACTGGAGGTTATGCATCCCTATCATGGCTTGTAACCTGCAATTGACTTTTGTCTCCAGGAATCTGTCCAATCCCCTTTTCAAGGAATCTAGGCCAGATGCCATCACCACATCCTGTGTCAAAGAGTTCCACAGACTAACAACACACTGGGTACCGAAATATTTTCTTTTGTCTGTTCTCACTCTCCCAACACTCAATTTGAGTGGATGTCCCTTCATTCTAGTATTGCGTGAAAGGGAAAAGAGCTTCCCTCTATCCACTTTATCCATCTCCTGCATAATTTTATACATCTCAGTCATCTCCCCCCAGCGCGCCTTTTCTCTAGACTAAAGAGACCCAAACAGTGTAGCCTTTCCTCATAAGGGAGGTGCCCCAGCCCAGTCATCATTTTAGTCACTCTCTTCTGCACGTTTTCCAGTTCCACTCTGTCTTTTAGGTCAACTAGGTCAACAAGGCTGTGGCAAGGAAAGCAACCACACGCCAGCTATAGGTAGATGTATCTGCATCATTAGTGGCTCTGGAGAGTCAAGGTGGTGCTGAAAACAATGCACTAGACTAATGTCAAGTATCACTATAGCTGCATGAAAAGAAATACTCCCAGGGAAGCCATGGTCCATTACACACCTCAGGGAAGTTTACAAGCAAGATATGAGCACATTAGCATCATGCCACCTGTGTTTACCAGCAACTGGTACAGAGATCTGTGCTGCCTCTTATACCAAGCAGGTACTATATAAACTGCAAATATCACTGGAAGCTTTTCCCCGCATAGATTCCACTAATATGAATGAACACCATATTCTTCTGTCATTCACATTCATTTCAATTAAACATGCTCAGAAGTTTCCTGTGGCTTGCAAGATAGACTTCAAACCTCTGGCTATTTCCTGGCTGCTGAGCTCCTAAAACTAATTCTGGGCTTTTAAAAAAGCCAACTGAGTGACTCATGATAATTAAGTCAATTTACTAGTAAGCAAGTTAATCGATTCTCATTGATTCTTGCTCATGGTTCTGTTTATGTAATCCCTGGGTGATCAATCGACCAAGGCTGTGTCTCTGGTATCTGCTCCCATGAAATCCCATCATGAGCATCTCCATGTGAGCAAAGAGACAGACCCCAGTCCAGATTTGGAGGACTTTCCCGGAGCTGAAAGCCTGGAGAATCAAGTCGCTGTGCCAGCTTCCAAAACAAGCACACTGCAGTGAGTAGGCAGCAAACGGAAAACACCCGCCACCTACCTCCTCGGATCTAATGGGAATTAGAGCCTTGGAGGCGCATTATATCAAAACCCATGCGCGCCGCGCCCCGACAATCCCGGCTAAACCGTGTTAAATACTGGAACGGCAGGCTCAGAGGCACTCTCGGTGATTCCGTTACTGTGAAAGGTGAATTGGGGGGGGGGGAGGCGGGACACTATCCGGCACTAACCCGGGATCCTTCCCCTTTCGCACAGCAGAGAGGGGCCCGCACGCGCCCC